TGTTTTGGGAATGCCTCTACTGTCACCCATGATCTCCGGCAAATTTGGTTGAAATCCCAAAACACATTGAGCTGGCGAAAATCCACGATGATTGGACAGCCTGTGGCCTGCACACAATTCACCACAGCAACTCTCGTCAGTATGGCACCTTTGATTTCACTGTCGTGAGCCACCTTCATCATCATCTCCTTCACAGTGAGAATCTTTCGCTCCACAACACCATGACTCCAATGTGCATCTCTTGCCACCAAGATCTCCTCGATGCCAAAGCGATCTAGCAAATCACGGAAATCGCCTCTCAGCGACCCATCTTGATCGACTTGGACTCGATCCGGACTTCCGAAGACTTCCATCCAGTCAACAAGCGACTTGCGGCATTGCGAGGATTGTGGCTTCTTTGGTCGACCTGGAGTCTCACCTGAGCACAAATAAGAAGCAAGAGTATATGATGTTGCCATGTCCACCATGAGCAGGAAGGAGTGCATCACATCATCTTGATCAGGGATGTGAGCAATGTCCATGGCCACACACTGATTGAAGTGATCATACTTAGGAATTGCGGCCATCGGTCGTGCTGGGCTTCTTCTCTCCTTCTCGCATGTAGGACAGGTAAACAAGGATGCTGCCTTGATTGCTTGATCTGATGCGCCTGATAGCCTCAAATGTCGGCTGAAGTTCTCCTTGTAGAGAGAGTGGGAATACTGTCGATGCACCTTGGTGATTGCGCTTCTGAGAAGCACGGGAACTTCTTCCCAAGTCGAAACATCACATCTGAGCTTCTTTGAAGTGCATTGCGGTACACATCTTCTTCTTCAAGATAGTACTTGACTTCTCCACACTTCTCCTCCAAAAGAACTTGTCGCTGAATGCCTTCTAGAATCATGACACCAAGTTGGGGTGTCCACTGTCCCAGCATGGAGGAAATATTCTTGCCATCTTTCACCCCACGACCTTGAACTTGTGCATGTTCGTGATCTCCTGTGCATCTCAATGTCAGCATTGAAGCCAAAACTGGAGAGGATGTGACAAAGCGTGTCGGCTTCAAAACAAAGTCTCCATTGATGTCTTTCAGATCACTTGCACACTGGTCCATGCGGGATGTGTAATGCGGCACATGTTCAATCTTTTCCAACAAAATCTTCCATGCCTGACTTGCCAATGGGTTCTCCAACAAATAGTGTCTTCCTTCAGAAATCTGAAGTTCGCAAACCTGCCTCACAAAGTCCAGATGATCGAGGGCAATTTCTTGTTGTACCCTTCGAGTGTCTTCATCCAGAAAATTGCTGAGGGGCGTCCAGGGATCACAATTGAAACCCATCGTGACAAGACTTGGCTTCTCAACCTTGATCTCTGCCAAGATCCAATCACGATCTTCTTTCTTCAAGAAGTTGTCTCCCAGCAAAAGATCACGTGGTCGTCCCACGGGCATCTCATTGTCCTTTGCTAAGGCGGTCACAACTCCACCATCTTCACCACTGTAGAGCTCCTTTACGATCACCCTTTTCGCATGGGAACGATTTCCCCTTCGGAGTTCTTTCCACAGTGCTCTGCCGTGCTCTTTTGCCTCTTCTGCCATCTTTTGAACTTTTCTTCTCAACTTTCCTTTCATAATCCTGATGGTCTCCACGTTGAAGTCCTTGGCTTTCAATTGATGAAAAACCTCCACCGTTTCTCCTGCCAGCCGTGTAGACTTCTTGTTTCGTCCACCTTGTCCGATGTTCAGCAACAAATGTCCACCAGTTCCATAGTCCATCTCCACCTTCTCTGAACCAATGGTTGTGAACTGGATGGTAGGCTTGGGTGTTGCTGTAAGGTCAATCACCGCTCCCAATTCCCTGAGCTGAGGTAACCCAAGGAGCAACGGAACATCTGAATTGGGAAGGCGATGCAAAGCCACTCTGCCCTTCTGACCTGCAATGTGAATGTCAATCCATTGCTGGTGATGAACCATCACCGGGGCATCTGCATTCACTCACTCCTGCAGCTTTGTCTCACTTCCGAACCGTTCAACAAACTTTGTCCAGAGTGCGATCACCTCCGCAACCGATCAATGCTGCCGTGTCCACCACACATCTGCCTGCGGGAACTGCTCCACTGCTGGTGTTGTTCATGAATGTCAAACTGTGCGGAATTGCTTCTGCCTCATGGTTCTGGGTCATGTAGGCATCAATTTCGCTCACCACTTCACCATAGTCCTCCAACTTCGGAATCACCTCATGGTCTTCCTCCAGGTGAAATGCTGAGTCATAGCATTCGTCCACCAACAATCCAACACATGACAATGCTTCGTGGCATGACTGAAGCAACTGCCCTGATGCTGATGCCAGCATTGCTGCTGCCATCCCTGCTCGCTGTAGAAAGCCACCTTTCCTGCCGCCCTTCTTTCCATGTCCCTTCTTGCCACCTTTTGAGCTCGGTGACCCAGGACTCTTGGGGCAACTTCGATCTCCTCGCCAGTGACCTTTCTGACCACAATCGTAGCATTGTGTGCGAGCCTTCACCTGTTGGATCTTGTCTTGAAGCTGTCCTGCATTGAGTGTCAACTTGCCATCTAATGCAATCGATGTCTTGTTGTGACCAATTGCACTGGACTGCGGCTGAAAACCACGGTTGGTCTTCCCGTCTCTCACGGCCTGTCTCTTCCTGGCATATTCGGAAGCACCTTTGCCCATCTTTTGGATGGTGGCCGCGAAAACGTCCAGCTCCTCACTGGTGAGGTCCTCAACTGCCATGATCTCGACTGCATGCTCCATTTCCTCGATGTCATGTTGAATGTCCTCTTCAACCTCATAGATCGGGATGTCATCATCCGTTGGCTCTTCTGCATACCATTCATCAATGGCATAGGCCTCTTCTGTCTCTCCATCATAGCTTGACCACTCTTCTTCGATGGGAAAAGCCCAAGAACCTCGCTTTCCGGCACCATAGTTGTTCTGTGAGCGGGACTTGTAGCTTCCTTTCCAACCTTTGCCTGTCATCTCATCTCCGCCATCAAGCTGAATGAGCATGGCCTCCACGATCTTGTCCCAATCATATTCATTTCCAGCCTGACCCAAAATGGCTCTGTGCTGGCTTGGGTTCACACCTGCATTCCTCAAAAGGAAAAAGGCCTGGAGGTCCATGGAGAGCTTTGTGTGACCTTGTGTAAGTCCTGTCAGCTTCTCATACTCGCTCTCTCTTCTGCTGATGTAGTCCTGGATGCTCTCTCCCAAGCGGCGCCGTCCCTTGTCGAAGAAGTAATCTTCAAAGGTCTGAGTCTTCAACAATGGAGCGACCTTTTCACATGCAGCTCTGACCGTCTTCACCACCAGCTGAACCGCTGCCTTGGGACCTGCATTGGCGCTCGTCTCGGCCTCGCTGAGCTGGAGGAGCTTCTGGGCCGCGATCTCCGGCTTGCGATGACAGAGGGTCCAAGCTCTTCCAAATAGAGCGTTCTTCAACTTCGCTGCATAGCTGACCTTGTCATCCTTGGCGACCGTCTGAAATCCCAACCAGACTCTCTCCTCATATTCTTCAGCCAGCTTCGGGCTTCCATCGTAGTGGACCACATTGGACTTGGGGTCAACAAAAAGTGACTGTCCTGAAGAGCTCGACATCCTCAAAACTCAAATAAAATCCGTGCAATGTGAAACTTGAGCTTCCAATCAAAATTGTGCAATGAATTCCCAACCGGCAACTACCAAGGGAATATCCCACCAAATACTCGAGAAACGGATTCCGGTATTAAAGTGTTCCAAGTCGCCCTGGCCAGCCCAAGAACAAAGCCTGCTCTATACAACAAAGCAATGTCCAATTCCAAGCTCAACCGCAGGGGTCAAAGTGACCAGCACCAACAGCACCGATCTCTATGGCGCGCCCGACCGTGAGCTCTTAGGCTCCGCCTACCAGTGTCAAGTCCTATACGAACCCTTGGCAGACACTTTTGCGTCCGCCTCGAAGCTCAAGGCCTTGGTCATGGCCTGGTGTCGATCTCATGTCCTTCATGGACATGTCAAGCTCCTAACATGTACCAACTCGCAATGACCGACATGTCCTGCTCAGAACCTTCATGGATCAACCTTTCCGTCTTCACAATATATATAACTATATATACATATACTGACCTGCCCAACCCCAGCCTCTCTAGGGCACAAACGCAAAAGCACAGGCCACCTGTGAGCAGGGCGAACAAACCAACGATGCCGTCCGTCGGGTGTCTTCCTGTCACCCAACCAATGAACCTGCCGGTCGAGACTAAGAAACATAATCGAGTTGGCTGATGGTTCACGTCCAGGGCAAATGTCCACAGTGTTTCATTTTCGCGCTTTTTTGTTCGCTCCTTTTTGGTCAAGTTAAGCCTGTCGCCCTTGGCGGTCAGCACAGCACAGCGGCACATCTTGTTGCCCCGACTGTTTCTAAGGAGGTATGCAAAAGGGAAAATGGCGCAAGGTGTTAGAGCTGTCTGTACACATGGGTTTGGGTAGATTGGCTGGTCGTCCTTGGAAAGGCAATTAGCAGTATAATATCACTAGATGGATTCAGCTGGAAAGGGTGTTTGGGGATGGGGAATGACCCAACAATTCTCTCCAGCAGGGTCAGCAAACACGATTCAAGCAGTGTGATCACGGCAGAGACAGCTCCTATGTGATTCAGATTCCAATCACCAAATGTTTCTGCTAGCTGGGCCTTTAAAAATGACCTGAATACTGCCACGAGTGCTGCGCGATTCACAGGAGGTTCAGGTGAAATCTATGAGCCACAAGACCAGCTGAAAAACATTTGACACAGAAACTTCTCATAGACCTCTTCTGTGGCTCAAGGTGAAACTTATCTATCTCAGAAGCAAGTGGATGATTCTGGGGTCAGGGCAATCCAATAAGGCAACAAGGACAAAGTCACCTTGACGTGGCTTCTGCCAAGGCGGAGAAAAGTTTTGAATGATGTCCACAAGCTGATAGACCCTGACCCCGGATCTGAGGAGTTGGGGAACCAAGCCGCGTCTTGCAGCATCCCCTCGTCTCTCATCGGTCCAGCTGCCCCACCGCCGGCAAGCGACCCTTCCGAAGCGTCCACGGCAAGGTCCCTTGCGCCTGCAAACCTCAATGGGACGACTGCCCCACACGTCGGATGTTTCCACAAAATACAACGATACAACTTGTGATTGTCGGCCAGGCCTTTCTCAAGAGCTCCAACCCCCACCAAAGGAATGCTGTAGAAGCCAGTTCTTTCAGACCCGGGTAACCCTGCTGGTCCCAGAGATTCTTGAAAGCCAAACACGCACAAGCTTACACTTGCACGCACACATACATACACTTCTACAATTGGGATCTCTTTGCCACCATGGAGCCGCCGCGAGGAGTATAGCGACTCATATCGGCCTCCAATGCCGCATGCCTTGCTTGGAGAGAGGCCTCTTCCACACGAGCGGAGAGAGCACGTTGTGCCTGCTCCAGCTCAGCGTTGTTTCGAACCTTCTCCTGATCAGGGCGGTGGAGCTGTTGCGAGCATGGCTCTTTAGCGGCCGCTATCGGTTTACTTCTCAGTATTGATTAGTTGTCTGTGGAAAGAACACTTGGCAAAAAAAAACAAAAAAAACATTTGTATGGGCATTCAGCAACAGAACAATTCAAGGCAGCTGCTTGAAACTCCCTGTTTCTGACTCCTCAAGTTTCAGCTGCTGAAACTCAAGATCGAGCTGTCGATGCCTCAGGACCGCTGCTGAAGATGCTCGAATGGGAAGGTGTATTGTTGAACCAAGTTTAGCATGTTTCTTCGTCATGGGCTCTCAGGTGTGTTGCGAAGGAAGGCTCAAGTAGTGGATGTCAGCCAAACAGTGTGATTGGAAGGAAAATGAAGGAATCATGGATGAGCTGTGATGAGCTGTGGGACTCTGCTCAGATTCCCACGAATACACTGCAGCCCATCCTCGCCTCTTCCTACCACCTTTTCCGACCTCTTCCCTTTGACCCTTCCGCCTCACTTCCCTCAGCGTGGCATCCAACTCCCCGCCCAGCTCCGCCACGCGCTTGTCCTTGGCCGATAAGTCGGCCTGAAGCTCTTGGAAGCGTGCCTGGCGCAAGAGGACATAAGTCATTAGTCTAAGTCTACGGTGTAGGGAGGCTTCGATCATCCAACTATGGTGCTGGTCGGATTCGGGTAAATTGTTAATGATACACCTACCAACTCGAGGAACGGGAGGAACAGTTCAAGCTTCCTTTTACTCACAACTGGTGTTATGACCATGCCAGTAAGTAGCCGTCATGCTGAACTTGCTTCAAAGTAAAAGCCATAATAGCTGTTGAACCTCCAAAAAGATTCATATTCATATATATATATATGTTGAGTTGCGTAGTCAAAAATAGAAAACTGGATACTGGTTGTAAATCTGTGGCTACTGCACTCTTTGCAAATGTGAGCCCGAAGAATGAACTTGACCATCGTGAGCAAAAAAGTGATCCAATCAATAATGAAGGCTAGTTCACTAATATAGTATAGGTTACTTAGGTTGGACAGTCGAATCATCAACCCTCAACCAGCCAGAACATACGTCCAATCCAAAGACTGATAACTCGGGGCTTCAAGGATCCTCTTGAAACAAAAGTGGCTGGCATGTTCTCAATAAAATACGTCAGAAATGAACTTGCTGTGGCATTGGCACTCGCACCAAATTCCCCGGATCCCCCTTCGACCTCGGGCCTCCAGGGCCTTCACTTCTTGATCTCTCTCGGCTAAGGCTTGGGTCAAGGTGGCCACGTCGATGGTGTCCATGACTCCACTGGAAATGGTTGGAATCCTCATGATCGGCTGCAAAACTGACCCCAAACGCAGAAAGAGTCCATGAGGAGGCCTAGACTTGGATGACTGTCCATCAGGCGACCCATCTTGCAGAGTTCAAAATGAGGAACTGGCAAATTGATCAAGGTCAACCACTGCAAACGACGTGAATCAACAACTGATCCAATCGACACGCATCGTCAGTGTTGGTACGGCCCAGTGGTGAACATACTCCAGATGATGGAAACACAAAGACCAAAGGCTTCATGCTGACGAGCAACAACTTCCGAACCTCAGAGATCACTCCGGCGCTGTGCTCCTCTAAGAGTTTCCGGATCTCATCCTTTCCCACACCGGTCTCCAATGGCTTCACGCCGGGCGCTGGCCGACGTCCGCCCGGCGGCGGACCACTGGGTGGCACTGGTTGAATTGAGGTCGGTCCCGCAGCACCCGAGTTCTCGATGGAGGCGAGGATTTCATTCAGCTCCTGTAGGGATGAGGGATCTGCTGGTTTGGGCGCGCTGGGTATGTTCATCTATTTGTTTATGCTAAGTATTCACTGGAGTGTGGATCCTCAGGGATCTTCCAGAAAGGTTGCAAGGCAATAGGACAACGAAGGATTTTTTCCAACCAAATGTTGCCCCAGCCCTTCAGCTCCTCTGGCTTACATTGGTCAAGAAGCTGTGCAATCTCATCAATGGTGGAGTCCGCCATGTCCGGTTGGCAATGGCAAGCCTTCGACGGGCCTTGAGCGAAGATGGCTGCAATTCTCCTGGGCTGCCCTGTGCTGCAGAACATGGGTGGTGGTGGTGGTGCAACTCATTTGGTTCACAGGTTGAATCCAATGACTCCAATCGGAAGAGTTGTTCAATCCGCTGAACTCTGCTATTCGCCCGATCGGTTCCCCCAATCCACCTCGATGAAGACTGCTAGGCGCCAATCTCCCGCAAGAGCACCTGGCCTCAGGACAATGCCAAAATTGCGCTTTGAAGTTCAAAAAAAAAAGTATCTACATCGTTGTCTATCTTCTCCAGGCTTGATCCCTGGAGGCATCGTCAACCTCCTCTTCCAGCTCCATCCCAACTACGTGATGCATCACCCCACAAATAATGTAATCGTTCTGGGTGCAATTCGAGCCAAACAGAATGAAAGATAACAGCTTCTATGTACGTTCCACGTTGCTGAGAATCACTCCGAAGAGTCTCCCCCAGACTGATACGGAACGCAAACCCGGACGTCCAAAGAGTTATGCTTCTTCTCTCTGGCCAAATCGACAGATCCTCTCAGCTCCCAGGCCGCGCCAGCAACCTTGAAGACAAGGCAAACAAAGAAACGACTCACCAGACGGTCAGGTCGCACTATGCGGTGATGTTGTGCTTGCGCATGTTTGTGGCGCTCCCCTTGTCAAACACGTGTATAAAATAGAAAGCGTTCTTGTTCCTAGTAGTATGGCCAGGAGCCCCTAGTAGCGTCCTTGCTCCTAGTAGCGATGCCAGGAGCCCCTAGTAGCGTTCTACGTACCTTTGAAACCTTTTGTGCTCTGAAAATGACAGTCATAGTATTCGTCACATGTTGTTACATTGTTGAAGACCGCACAAGTCGCTGAGGAAAAGGTACTTTTGAACCGTCCGGTCTCCTTGCGGATGTCGATTGTCAATCGATAAGTCTGCAAAACTGAGTCTACACACGTCCAAATCAAATCAATGCTAATCAAGCACATGGGCCATGCCTGCAAAAGAGGACTCGAGCAAGAAGAAAAGAAACGCTGCTTGTGATTGAAAGTTTCGATCACAAATCGTTGAGCGGAAGAATCCTACTCACAACCTCCACCATCCAACTCTCCCTGCTTGGTCCATGCTCGGCTCCCCCGGCCGATGGGCCCACTTCACGATCCGCTTCAGTCGTCGGATCGTGGGCCTGGGCGGGAAGCTGCCCGCAATGGCCACCTCGGTGCGTCCATCCCAAACCCTGGATCCAAGCGAAGCTTTTCTTCCCGAGGTGGAAAGGGCCCTTAGAATGCCAGAGACACTGGAAGTGCTCTGGAGAATACCAGGTTTTTTGCAGGAAAAGGACAATATGACAAAATCTCGACATTCCCTACCATGACTTGGCCTTAGAAAACATCTTTGGGTCACCGCAACGTGGTGCTGAAGGTTCACAGAAGGGTCCACCCCACAATACATTTGGATATATTTGGCTTCCCCCCTGTGTCTACTTCCCAAAAGACCTTGTCCTTTAAGACCATTGTCGAAAGAAGATTGGTCGGTTGGCAAACATCCACAACAACTCTGGGCCACGCCATTTCACGATATAGAAGCACTAGGAGCAAGGACGCTACTAGGGGCTCCTGGCATCGCTACTAGGAGCAAGGACGCTACTGGGAGCAAAGGGCATCGCTACTAGGAACAAGAAGCTACTAGGGGCAAGACTCTGAGACCCTTGGACCACGTGCAACACAGTTCCCATTCTTTGGACCAAGACTTCAGTGGATTCGCTCGAGGCTTTGGGCCCTGAAGGTCCAAAAATAGTATTCTTGGTGTCACGGCTTCTCTCATAACCGTGAAGCTTCGGCCAAGGAGCTAAAGCATTGGCACCAGCTTCCCAGGACTTTGCCACCCCCTGCCGCCTGGTTTCCAGCTCGCCTCATGCGGATGTGTTCTTGCGATCACCTTCAAAGTCCACTCAGGCAGAATTTTCCTGAAGTCCACCTGGTTGGAATCCAACCGTTGGATGCAAAAGGAACCGGAAGTCCAACCCCAAGGCAGTCTTCGTTTGCCTGTACAGGCTCGATTGCGCCCACTATCTACATAATTGGTTCTGGGCTGGGCTGCTGGGCTGAATGATATATCCGACTATACAGTCTAAAGAATGAATTTCCTATGAGGCACTTGGAAGTTAGCGAAATGTGGCATGCGGACCACACATGCAAACCGAGGCGCTCTGGCGCCCAGCCCAGTGCCTGAATTTCGCCAGCGCTCATGGGGGGAGGTCGTCTTACAGTGTGAACGAAGTATCTCCGAATTTAAAGGTAACGCCGCACAAGGCCTATGGAGTATATTAAAGGATCGCAGTATATTGATGCATATCATGATTGCATGTGTATATATATATATACATACACATAATATGTATATGATTGTATATGTATACCCTATGCACTCACCAGTGGTATCTATCATCATCGACAAACCGAGCGTGGAAACCAATGAATGTCCCGATGCCACAGGAACAGAAAATCCTTAAACTCATCTGCAGGTTAATCTAAGGGTAGGGTAGTAACTAGTTGCCATCGTCGCTGCAGGGCGCTGGTGTTTTTGTGGATGTTTCACGTTCTACACTCACGCACTGCGTTTGAACGTGTTGACATGGGGTACGTGGGGGGGTGGGGGGGTGGGGCTAATTAGCACACCTGTAGCGTCGTAGTCTATATACTAGGGTTTTACTTGGGTTTGTCTTCTTGCGGGTTCGACTCGGTTAGACACAGGTTTTGGCCACATGCATCCTTTTTTGGCTCAGTCAAGACATCCCGCAACCTTTTCTTCTGTTTTTTTGGTGCGTGTCGTTGGTTCTTTTGTTGCGGTTGGCGAGTTTTGTGGACATAGACGAGGTACCCCCGGTTTTTCGACGCAAACGGTGCTAGGGCGTGGGACAAGGCCGCAGCGTATTTAAAAGTCCCTTGCTTCCATTGTGTGTGCATTTTAAAAAAATGAAAAAAAGGAATACAGTGTTCGCATCACCAACCAAATGGTTCCACGTGGGTTGTCACGCGAAGCGGGCACTCAGACTCTTGATGCCGATTGGAAGAGCTTGAAAAGTTGGCTACCGCAAACAGCCAACAAAAAGCAAGGCAAGGGTGTGAAGGCCACGCATTCAGCAAAGCTGGAGATGCGTGTGTGGCAGTGGGTGTTTCTACGCGAGAAGATGCCTCAGGAGAACGTTAAAGCACTCTCCAAAATGTGGAACACAAAGTAGTTTTGACAAGTGACGAAAATAGGGTGCACACGCGTGCGCTGCAGGGTGACTGGGGCGTCATGAGTGATTTGCCGCCAAGACCAGGTAGTTCCATGATGATCCAACCATATATGATTTTCCACCAAGAATTTCCTTCTGTGCGATTGCCTTTCTAAGGTTTCTATGCTGGAAAACTCAAAGTGGTGCAGGCGTCTCGAAAAGATGTAGCGGCACTGTTATTTTGCATTATTTTGGTTTGATTTGAGGCAGATGGCCAGAAGCATCTTATCAGAACCAGGGGTGTTCACTGTTCACTATTCATTTTCTGAACCCAGGCCAACAGATTCTGCCAAGGCACGACCCTCCCAAGGCCCCAAACGCACTGGTCAAGGCAACCTGGCGACCAATGGATCAAAAGAATCAAACCACCGAAGCAGCCGAACTATCAAGCGCATCTTCTTCGCAGAATGATCCAGGCCTGGCATGTGTCCTTCGATCACATATCTACGTGACCAGACTGTTGCTTTCTTTGGATTGCAATTCTGGAGCCCCGCAGAGCAAGCGCCTTCAGAGGCCCAATGCTGAGAAATGGCAAGGCCGCCTGCATCGCCAGTATCAGGGCGTGCTTGGAACTCAACTCTGAACTACCATGTTCAGTGTCGGCTCACAATGCTGTGACTACGCGGGACCGTCAAATCTGGCACACCTTAAAGAGACTCACAAATAAAACATGCCCATGCTCTTCTTGGGAGCACCAAGCTCCTGTTTCATGAGGCTGGTCAAAAGACACGCCAGTGAGGCAGACCCCAGAAAGGTTAGAGCACCAGCTCCAGCAAAGCCAAGCCTCTGTGATCCAACAAGAACTGGAGGAGGAGCGGTTAGTATGCCATGTAAACATCTGAGTTCGCAAACCGAACCATAAGCCACACTGCAGACCGGAAATATCAGCACTGTCCCACCAACACATGACCATCGCACTGCAAACACATGTTCCGGTGCCCTTTGCCCACTGGATTGGGGTGAATCGGTCGGGTGACATGCCAAGCGTTGGCCCTGGCTCACTATCTCTCATGCACCAAGCCATGGTAATTATTCATTGGTACCAGCTACAGTAACCCGAAGGGATAACGCTTGAGCACGGCTCGCGGTCCCTCAATTCGATGCACTCCCTATAGGCTGAGCGGTAACGTGAGGCCTGGGAAGGAAAAAGAAAACAGCTACAGTAAGGTGCAGCAAGGCCCCTTGCTTGGATAAGTACAGTATATAGTTATTCAGTTCTACGATCTCACTGCAACATTGGCTGTGCGTGAACTAATGAATCATTCACCACCTGGTTGCTGCAACGAATCAAAGGCCCCTACACCGCAGCGGAGATGCGCAGCATTTGCCCTTCACGATGCAAATGCCAGGCCTTGGAGTGAAGAACTTCAACGGTAACCAGGCAGTACTCACCAAGTGGCGTCCTTCAAGGAAGGCAGCCTGTGGGACTGGTTTGGGGATGGTGAGGCAATTAGTGCAACTACAACTTTACAAACTCCACTTCTCATGGTTTCACCATCCATTTGCAAGTGAACTGAACGATGCTGAATACCCACCACCGCCTGCTTACCATGAACACATGGTCTGATTTCTTGAGTAACACGTTGAAGAGTGATCAGGTACATCATGTCCATCTCTCAGTTGTTGTTGGGAGAGGCGGAGAGGCTACCCAGACCTAGCAGCCAGCATTTCCCCATAGTCAAGGCGAATCTCTGTGTGCAAGC